ATATAAAAAACCACAAAAGAGATCCTTACAGTATAGACTGAAATCAAAGAGAGTTTGATTCTTCGTAGTTTAGTCAGATAATTCTGCTGCATAAAACTGTATCAAAAGAAAAATACTCGTGTTCCCGTCAGGATTTTGCGAAAAGTAAAACTACAAACTCCATAAAACCAAAAACAAAACAAGAATCACCGTATGTCTAAAATATAACCACATAACACTACTGTACACAGTGCTAATAAATTGGATAAAAGACTTACCTCAGTAACTTGTATTAAAATGGCCCAAAACAAGTCTTAAAATGTTTTGCTTGAATTCACACCTCGGACTGCACACAAAGCCAACATCACTTACTCTATATAGTACCAACCGATTGGAGTGACGCATGCGGTGATGAATAGTTTTTGGCCATGTATCAAATGACACAAGCTACCTGGCTCTACAAGCTCTGAAAAACTGGAAACTAAACCCCCTATTTTCTTATGTGAATGCGTAGAAAAAAGCAACGTTGTTGATCCTTAACTTTAAATACTTTTGTACCATGATAAAAAATAACAAAACTGGTTCGTATGACTCGTGTGCATATTTATACTAGCAATTAAACTTAATAGGAGTTCAGTTGCTCGTGTTATCTTTTAAATACCTTAACTACCAAAGTTTATTTGAAGGTCTATCAATTAATAACATATTATAATTGCTCTGCTTCTTCTAATTCTAAAACTTGTTCGAAAATAGGTTTTAACAAAGTACAGTATTTATCATTCGTACGGTAGCACTATGATACATAATAGTGAATCGATTGCCCGAGGATGTTAGAGACTTAACTCTAAATATTGCAAATTAAAAAAAAAAGAAAGAAAAAAAACCTTTCATCTGCCAGTTTGTCGAAGGAAGGGGATTGATGAGTAATACAACGTATGGACGAGGGCGCTGTACTCTATGGAGGGGGATTACCGCCATAACTTTGTGCATGTATTATTTTATTAGTATATGCTGCATATTCTATTCTGCATAATTGAATGTTGTATTTTTTAAATCATCCAATATTTCTTTCTCAATCTGATACGCGTGAGATTTTGAATACTGCAGTTTCATATCGTCAAACTCTATGTAATATTTTCAATAGTATACATGTCATGATTTTCATTGCAATATTGCATTTCTATATTTACTGTCTGTATTATAATTCATTTAACTATATGTTAATCACCATAATGAAACGAAATACATAACCAAATAGAAGTTACATTGTAGCCCTGTTAAAGGTATTCATCTTAGCATAATGTGAGTTCGAATATGGTAACCAACGCCATCTTTAGCTATAATGGGACATTACTCTAAAGATCCTTTATGATAACTGGAGTTGTCTGCTTAATCACTGAAGATCAGAAACTATCCCTGGTCCAGTTTATTCTGTGCATGGACGATTCCATCCACAAAAGAAAGAAAGAGAGAGAGAGAGAGAGATCCGTAAGTTTTCAGTTTCGAGTTATGGAGATATTTAACAAAATACGATGCAATCTAATAACGTTGCAAAGGAAAACCTATGCTGACACCCAGACTCCTTTAAAGTAATTCAGTATTTTAGTTTATGCAGTTTTAATTTAGTTTGTTTTTATTATTTAGCCCACTTCATATAAACAGCAATTGTAGCATAAAAGTGTACTTTTGGTTAGCTGCTATGCTGTGTGAAGTCGTTATACCTATCTCCAACAATCTCTCTCTTTCACCAGCACTTAGTTCAAAATACTATTGTTTTTATTTTATGGAACAACTTTAAGTTATGTAATAATTATTACCGAGCCATTCAGAGCCGAAACAGTGTTTTGTTTATGATAGCTAGTTTGCAAAGTGCCGAATTTACCAAATGAACCCCCGTTAAAATTTTTTTTTAAAAAAATCTTTATTAATTCTATATTGTAAATATATCACGTTTATAAATTCTGTATGATCATTGTGTTAGTGGGATTGAAGTAAGATTTTTATTTTTAAAGCTATGAACAAAGAATAAAAATGTATGAACAGAACTAGATGTTCATTTATTCTCTTAAACCAATAACATTCCTATATCGTAAATATTTTCCCAATATTTTTTAAACAAAAATCTATAACATAATGCACTATAACATAATTCACTCTGGTGAAGCTATTCACCTAATCAGCCCAATATGAATTTGATGAATTGTTTGATTTAAAACAGATGCTTTAGGGTATGTATGGGTACGTGAAGTTAAATGATTGTTTTAACACAAGCTTATAGAAACAAATACTTTTTGTGAACAAACAATGCGTCAAATACATTTATCAGTCCTGTTATCATGTTCACAATTTATTTCAGCAAGGACCTATCTTGCCATTATCTGTTCATGATTGTATATACGTGTATATCGAAAGGCCGCCATACGTAAGTGTTAGAGAATGAGGGTGAAGTGTTATAAGTCAGATTAATCACCTGGGGGATTAGGGTGACTATTGAGCTTATAAAATAATATACCTTTTACAGATCTCCCGATAACTAATTTCAATACGTATTAATTTAAATTTAATGATGATACAAACAACAATCACAACAGAAACATTAATATAAAAAATGAATAAGACAACCGACGGTTGTGGTGGAAATACATTGCCCTTTTATGCGTCAAGTATTTGGTATTCGTTGTTTGTCACGGAAGATTCAATCGTCAGATCAGCACTCGTGAGAAGAATATGCGTTGAAACTGATCCGGATCACTATTTTCGTTAGTCTGGTCCCCTGCTTAGAATGCTCCCTGCGATATACTCCGCTATAGCGGAGTGCATCGCAGGGAGCATACAAAGCAGGGGACCAGAATATATTTTCGTTCGAATATGACAGTGCCCTCAGTTGTCATATTGTGACATTATTCGATTTTACATCATACGTCATGCTAACAGCCAGCTTGTGACTATCCTTGCTCTACATCGTAGCTTTCAGTTTGTAAAATGAAATCTATCAACTGCACATAAAATTTAGAGTCGGAACCATTAATGAAAACACTAAAGTGTAATAACTGTATCAATACACTTCTAAATTTCAGGAAACAATATTGGCAGATGATATGATGCAATCAATATTATACATCTTACACACATAGAAAATTCAAAATAGAATAACACAAAATGGAATACACAGCATATACAAATATAAAATACATGTATATAATTATGGCTGAAATCCCCTTCCATAGTACACACTTATTCCCAAACAGCAGAAATTTTAATTTGGCTCAGTGAAGGATTACATAAACGTGAGAACACTAAAACTACAAAGAGACGTGAGGAGAAGATAAACAAATGTGATCGTTTGTTTTGAAAACATATTTATGTTACATGAATCACGATGTCCTACTTCAAAAAAAGATGATGTAACTTCGAACTGATTAAGATTTCAGGTCAGCCTATCAAGTTGCTCATAGTTAAGTAGCGAAGTAGAGCCTAAAAATACAAAAGATAAATGACTCGCGTAAGCCACAGACGGCAAACCGTCACTAATTATACCCATCTACGTATGATCTCATGGCAAGCGGCCACTGATAACAGAGGCATGCATTGGTCAGGAGCAATAAAAACCAATCCTTTCTAGGCAGGAGGGAGCCGCTTGACTCATTTGCAATGTTGATGTTCTTTTAACCAAACCGTCGCGGGTTCGAACCCTGCCAAGATCAGTTTGGCGAGATGTGTCTATTGACAAAGCACTTTACTACCACTGCGTTGTCACTCTAAAGCCTTTAATTTATAAAAAGGATATGTATGGTCTTGACAGAATGGATTTTTGACATTATCAAATCAGCAAGTTCGTATATGCAAAGTAGAAAGGATAATGCTTATTTGGAAAGCCATAATGTCTCTCGTCTGATAGCGTTACCGTAGCCATCTATTATGCGCAGGCTGTCAAAACAGAACCTATACATTGATCTTCCGGCTCATTATGACACAGCAGATTTGGTTTTACACATATTGCATTTGGTTGAGTGTGTTTTTTTTTTTTTAGGTTACAGTTGGTCACAGTATTTTTGACCTCTCATAGAGTTTGTTTAATCAGATTGATCCATGCCTTCTAAATTTATATTCATGACTTGGGAAGAATTCAAATTATTCATCTGATATTGTTTGCAATTTTCTGAAGAATTGTTCCCTGTTCAGTCAATGCAGCATATGTCCAAATAAAATGAAAGCACTTGTAAAACAGGGCTATCAATGACGCACAACTCAGACAGACAACGTCATCTACTGATATTCAAGGAGAAACAACAACAAAAATGGGGGGATAATTGAATCTCAGATGTTTGCTATACCTCGCTTCAGAAGCTATTTTAAGGAAAACAATAGCGAAATAGCTGCAGACAATCTCGCACGCAAAAAAGGACTATTCATAACCATTTAGTGCGCGATTAACGTGACAAACGCAACATCTCGTGCTTTTCAGTTATGATAACTGAATATGTTGAAATTTCGTAGATTCGTCTGAACTCAGTGCAGACAATTGTATACAACCATACATCGCATATGCCTGGCGCCATCTTCAGTAGTGTATAAGCAATTCCATATAACGCTTCGTTTACTTTCATATTTCCTCTGTTTTCTTTTTAAGTAATATAGGTCATCGTTCGAGGCATCCGTAATCCGAACTTTTTTAAAACTGGTTTATTTATTCGTATTGGCTCATTGTACATTAAAATAAAATGCCTGCATATTTAAGGACACTAATTGGTTTTTAAACGCAATTCATTATTTTGCATTGTCATCAGTTTCTTCCCCTGAATAACAGCTTCGTTGTTATGATTTATATTTTAAGTCAGCTTTAAAAAATGTTGGCAGTTTTATGTGATGTCTAGCACTGGGTGATCATGCTGCAGACATGTAACATGATGTCCCATCCTGTCACATTATACTGACACCAGGCAGACCAGTCCTAACACTAACCTCTTAATTCTGAGCGCCAAGCGAGGCAATCTGTTTACCATTTTTGTAAATCATTGGTATGACTTAGCTAGGGTTCGAACCCATGACCATCCGCACCCAATGCGGACGCTCCAACCACTAGCCCACCGGAGCAGTCTTAACAGCTTCGTAATTGGTTATTAAAGAATCAAAAAGAACGTACGAGACTTAACAATACTTTGGTAAAATTGTCAGATTAGAGACATTCTGGCTATGTAAATAGGCTTTATCATTATCTGTATTTATTATGAGCTACTGTTGACTTGATACTGTCAAGAACTCATTCTATCACGACCACACACATTCTTGATTTTCGAGTTGTCTAACATTTGCCTCAGAAAGGCGCCAGGTAAATGACACGGTATATTATAATTTGCTTTTCAAGCAGAAGATGAAAGTTTTAGGTGACATTAGGATTATGTGCGCCAGTGAGGGTTACATAATGGTAATGTTATATGCGGCGATCGGGGTTATGGCAGGCCGAGTCTCGAGTTAAATACCGTATAAGCCCGTGTATAACCGCATTCCTAAATGTTGCAATTGTTGACTTAGATTTGCCGTTCTCATAAAACATCATCAGTTCAGGGGCTGTTCTTTTAATAGCAGATTTCAAGAAAACAGTATAAACCCCCAAAATATTATGTGGCGGCAGAGAAGAAGTTTATGTTATTTTATTTTGTTGATATAACAACACAGGCTTTGATATAACAACACAGATCCTGTACATTATTTGAAGGCAGTAATGGGTCTATATTGTTCCAAGTTCAGCGGTATGACATACAGCTAAGTGTAGAAGGAATTCTTTGAGTATGAGCGTGATATTCTGAATCATCCAATCAGAAGGGACTTTATCCTAGTAAAAACACGCTCAGACACAAAATCAGGTTCAAAGTTCAATGATCACCAGACCATTCTTTTATAAAACGCCCAATTAATTCTGAGCAAAGTCTAAGCTGAAAATTTTGCATGATTTGATTTCATTTAGTGGGAAACCTAGCCTTATAAGTGACTTCATAAAAATCTCCCTGGGGAACAAAATTCTGAATTGACCATGTATTCAAACAGAAATTTCATTTAAACTGGATCATACCTAGAAATCTCAAGTACCTTAAAGGTGTTATCATTGCATACTGCTTGCAAATATGAAGCATTGCTTAGGTTACCTGGCATTAAATGTAAATTCTGTTGGTTTTTTTTTTTAAATCCCTCCCTTCCCCACATCCATCCTTTCCCAAAAAATTTGGAACCTTATTTTATTTCTGTGTGCATTTGATAACTTCCAATAAGTGGAATCAAACTAACAGCTTTTGTTGAAAGCCACTAGAACAGCTTCAGTTTTATGTCTGTTTTTTATTAATAGTTGTTCTCAAATATTTGCTTCAATAAATCTGTATTGATTTAGTTTTTGTTTCACACATCTTGTACCGTTCTTACCTTTTCGTATTTATATGTATATCTTTTTAATGACTATGCAAAATAATGGGCGTTTGTACATATTAACGTCTAAGCATTAAGTGAATCATGTGCAATTTTGTCCTTTCAAAGCTCTATACAGTTAGAGTGCATACACATGTGTATATGTACGTGACTTGCTGCTTTGAGGGTAGAGTAAATGTCTACGTGTTTCGACTAACTCGTAACCGAACCAAATAGTTGTGTATTAAATATCGTTAATGATACACATTATCGCTCTCGCTACATATACTGATACATAATGTCACTCTCGTTACATATACAGATTATGATGTCACTTGCATTACATATACAGATGCATAATGTCGCTTTCATTAATATACAAATACATAATGATGTTATCATTATAAATACATTTTTGTTATTCTCAGATTTGCAGAGTTTGTTCACCTATGCAGATCTAACAATTATAAACGGAAATAATTTGTGTATTTTACACGGAGTTTTCACATCTGTTCTACATTCTATAACCGATAATAAATATTCCATTACGCCTGAAGACAATGTAGTCAAACTTACGTTGAAGGGAAATGAGTGCGTGGGTTGGGATTAGGGTAACGTATTTTATATAGACAATGTAGTCAAATTTACGTTGAAGGGAAATGAGTGCGTGGGTTGGGATTAGGGTAACGTATTTTATATAGACAATCTAGTCAAACTTACGTTGAAGGGAAATGAGTGCGTGGGTTGGGATTAGGGTAACGTATTTTATATACGAAAGTAAAAGGATATCTCTAATCTGACAATATTTCCAAAATACTATCAAGTCTCATACGTTCTTGTTTTGATTCATTTGATAGCCAATTACGATGCTGTCATTCAAGGGGAAGTAACTGATGATGATGCAAAATAATGAAATGCGTTGAAAATCCGAATAGTATCCTTAAATACGCAGACATTTTATTTTAATGCTCAGTGTCTCAGAATATTTCAATACTATGTCATGTGACGATACCTGTCAGCAAACACCATACAAGTCTAAGTTTATTTCTACCTAAAAGACCTATGATGTCAATGAAATGACGCAATACTGCACTCGGATATTTAACACGGTAGCATACTTAGGTTGATCCGATGGGACCAAGCAGCATCATTCTCAATCGCGAGACAGACACGATCTCTATTAAGTCGCAGCGGAGTTCTGCTTCAACCCATCTCCTCTGAACATACTCAGAAGAGCGCACTGGGAAATGCCATTTGACAACTGAAGCCATAATAAATCTTCAATTTATTATTTTCAACGAATTACGACAGAATAATGTGTCTGCATGTTGAGTCATGCAGAATTTGACTTTGGTAATAAAATTGTCAAAACCGTTTTCCCGAACCAAACAGACAAGAACCAAATAATTCAATGGTGTTGTGCTAAGATGCGATACAATTCCTGTTTAAGTTTTATCCGTCCAGCATCAAAAGATGCAAATTTCGCTTCATTCCTTCATCCCTCCTTGTATTAGATGTCATGAATATAAATGGCAGCTGAGATTCTTGAATAATGTCCAACTTAAGATACTTATTAAAAATTCCAGTAAGAGGAAAGTTTTAGCAGGAGCAAGAATAACATGGTAGAACTATATGCTTTTATTATATTAGTATTAGTAGTATTACTGAAAGTAGTAGTAGAAATTAGCTGCGGCAGTAGTAATAGAAGAGGCTGCAGTATTTACTATAAATTTTATAGTTTACTGGGGGTAATCAGTAAAACAAGCAATAAGGATACTAATCTACCGCCATGTTATGCCAATGCAGATCAGGGTCTATAGTGTTTGCATTTTGAACAGTAATCGTGTATATACGGCTCTCCTCCAAATCCATCGATACTAGTGGTAATCGCGCCATCTTGAGTAAACCTTAAATAAATCAAGTAACAATCCAACGTCTTTAAAACTAGCCTATTGGTGAAGTAAGTGGTTCCTCTGTAGACTGACCACATAGCTGCTTCAAACTGACCCACTCTAATATTATTCTGACCTCTTTTGACAGACCACTTCCATAAACGGCAAAATGCGTTGTTCTGCCAATATACCCTTTAGAGAAGCTTGATTGTAGATGTACACATTCAAGATTTTAAAAACAAATCTTACAACTGTCATATGGTAGCATTGTTATTACCGCCAGGCTTATGAAGTAAATTGAAAAAATATAGTTTTTTATTTCATGGGGACATAAGGTTTGTAGCTTTATTTGAAATAGTATTAAATGCTATACTTAGTCTCTCGATCTCATAGTGTCATGCGCAGTGAAAAATGCTGCAGTTTTACCTGTCAATTTAGCAGGGTGTTTGTAGTTGTTTATACAAAAAAAACGCATTTTAACGCCGGTAATTCATACAATTCGCATTTCTTTATCATTGATTATACAAGAATTACAAATGCATAATTTGCCTTTGGGAATAAAATTCTCTTTTTATGTTCCTTGATTTTTTTCACAGAGTACGATCGTAACCTTATTCAGAAAAATGAAATAACTAAAAAAGTACCGAAGCCACAAATAGGTAGATAAACCAGCCAAGTTGAAGAAAAAAAACAATCCCAAGAACAATATATCGATGCACGCTATTTAACTGCCTGTAAAGGTTGACGGTAAAATGTCATAACAATAATTATGCCAGTGTTAATAAAGAGAGTAGATGCACACGCATACTTCTTGAAGAATGAACTTCGATCGAACATTTTATGGGCATACAGTTTAAACAACAAATTTTAATCACGCTTTAAGGATTTGACGTTTCAACTTTGTCGTTTTGCATGCATTTTTTACTGAATTTTAGTTCCTCTACGTTTTATATAGTTAGACTTGATGTTTACATTTATTTAGATTGGTTTAACTTCTAAGATGTGTGTGCAATGAATTTATTCTTCGACTTTTACTATAGGTTAGCACTTATGAGTCTCTTTTGTGTCGATGTGCCGTTAATGCACAATTTTTCTGTGCGTATGTATGTATGTATGTATGTATGTATGTATGTATATATATATATATATATATATATATATATATATATATATATATATATATATATATATATATATATATATATATATATATATATATAATCAAGGTCATAATAGTTGTTAATTCTTGCCACTAGTTCAAGAGTGATAAATGGTTTTGTGGTTTTGCGTTGCTACTCAACTATATCATGCCAAAATAAAGTTCACATTTGTGCCTGTCTATCTTATGGGGTCAAAGGAATTAGATATTATTCAGAAATTGATCGCACTAAAGGTAAAGATCTGCACCTGTTTTCAGTAACAACCAGAGCAACTGCAATAGTTCGCAACAACAAACGCCTTTGTTTTCTATCTATTATTATTATCTGAAACAATTTTTTTTTGCAATAATTTGAGACTTTGTACACCTTCAACTCTCTCCGCACCCTTCCTGGATAATAACCAAAGAGGTATAACCAGAAGTATGTTACATATAATAAGTAGTTTTCTATATAGACTACGTGGAGAAAGTTTTGTTTTAAAAAATATTTTTGTCTAACAAATCACTATAGAAGTGTTTTCTTTCTGAGCGCATAGTAAGAATATATAACTCTCGTAAGTAACTTGCAAGAGATCTGTGAATGTCTACCCAGCAGTATACGAAACGCTTTACGGACAGACGGAAAGGCAGACTGAAGGTATCACATTGTCG